CCATAAGGATCAAAATCATTACTGAAGTTCATCAACATTGTTGAAACACTTGGCTCTTTTGCTTCCCTAGCCTCAACTCGAGGAGGTAGTTCCATAGTCCCCATCTCTGCCATCAATCAAAACGTACTATTAGCTCAAAGATAAACCCAAAGAATAAATCTCGTTTATCCTCGTCTAAAAATGGATTTGGTACATACCATCCATGCATTCGGCAGCAGCAATATCACTCAAAGCTGATGCAGTGAGATCCATCTCTTTGTCTCTTGAGCAATTCAGTTGGAATTTCTGTTCTATTAGAGTTCCCTTCCCATTCATGCACCCAAATGTCACTGGAAAGTTAATAGGCAATTTACCCTACACATTAGCACAACATTCCATCAGAAGCAACACTTTTGCCACTTGTTTGGCTGCTCAACAAGTAAGAGCAAAAACAATCTATCACATTATTCCATCTAAGTTTAGCAAAAGAGCCCAAAACATCCGGAAGATGATGCCATAGCTTAAACAAAAGCTTTAGTTTGTGTGAAATACCAATCAAAAATTACTTTACATTACACATTCTTGACGTTTCCCAGAGAAAAAGGAAAAATTAGAGAGGCCAGAAAAATCAAAACAATATTGTGAAGCTCATAAATGCATAAAGATGATAACATTTCAATTTTTCAACTTTAGATTGCTCACCTTTAGACATTCTTAACTTCCACAAAAGAAAATTAGAGAGCCCCAATAAGCAAAACAACTTTGTGAAGCTCATAGAGGCACAAAGATGGCAACTTTTCAATTTTTCAAGCTTAAATTGCTCAGCTTTTTTCGTTTTTCGAGAACTGTGGTGTCCGGGCCAGCTTTCACGCATCTCGACTAATTCCTCAGGTGGCCTGCCACTTCCTATCTAACTCTATCCACTAAAGCTAGGACACATGCGGAAAATCACCTAGTATTTTGAATTCTCAACCTACTTCATTGACAGCTAGGCCACACCATTGGGTTCAAAAGCATTGGATATCCTTAAATTGCTCAACTTTAAACATTCTTAACTTCCCCAACAGAAAATTAGAAACACCCAATAAGCAAAACAACTGTATGAAGCTCTCAAAGGCATAGAAATCATTAAAAATCCAAACTTTTTTCAATTTCTCGAGTCAAGATTGAATAAAGATTGCAACCCAGTTCAAGATTTCTCCATTTTTTCTTCCACCCAATGATTTTTACACAAAAAGAGAAAAAAAAAATTACACCCGCATTAAGATATAAATCATTTTGGGCTAACCTGGGTGGTTGTGTTGGTAGGCAAAGAGCTGAAGGGCTGCTTGAGAGACAGAGAACATGCCATTTCAAAATTGTCGTCTTCTTCAATAAGGGCTGGAAAAAAAGTGGTTTATATACTCTTGCTGTAAATTATGTACTATACTAATTAATTAAAAAAAACTTTATTTTTGATAGTTACCTTGAAATTAATTTAATTTAATTAAGCATGAAGACTTTTTCTTTTTTCCAAAAAAATGATTTTCACTCTCTTTGAGCTGAGTTTTATCGGAAACAACTTTTTTATCCTCTTCAAATTTTATAGATTATAGTGGGGTTTTTTTTTTTTAATTACTTTTTCTCAGTCCTATTGTTATTATATAAACAAATTAATAAGGAAATAGTTTAATATAAACTAGAACAAATGGAGTATAGTCTTTAAAAAATTATGTTATAAGAGTTCTACTTGTATTTTTTTGTTGTTAGACTCTTTAAATAGAAAGTTATGTTAGGACTAGTAATAAGTATTCTTAAATACGTCATTTATATACGATTAAGAAGAAGAATGGTGGTGTCCAAATCAACTTGCTCACATTTAGATTATTCTGTAATACTGTTGCCTCTCACCTACACATGTATTAGGTAACAAAATCCAAATTTCTTATAGATTTAAAAATTTAATATTCTAAATGCTTACAACATGTTAATCAGGGTTTAGACCACAATTATGAACAATTTGAGCATGAACCCTAGAAGTCAAATAAAATAATCATTAATTGAATTTTTAAAATAGTTTTAATTATTGATAAATGAAAGAAGATTTTTTAATGTTATTGTTATAGAAATTATAATTGTTGTGAACGGGCTCACTCATGATAATCAATTGGGCTAAATGCTGAAAAGGTTAAATGGGCCGAGAGTTAAAATGAGGAAAAGCCGAAGAAGCCCAATGCTTAGTGGAAAGTTTGTAATTTGTATACTCTCATCCCAAGCCAACCTATGAAACAACAACAACAACAACTACTACTAGATATTTATATCAATTATATTTTTTTAAGAAACATATAAATTCGAAAATGAATAAGTAAAAACGAACTGAGAAAATATTAATTTTTGCTTGTTACAATAATTAAGGACCATATGATGGTGGGGGAGAGTAATAATAATACTCCAATATAACCAAGCAATTATTAGTTTTTGTCTTCTCGAACTTCCAAATAATTAAGGCTAATGTGTGGTGGGGGAGATTAATAGTTGTACTCCACTCAAGTTTTCTCATTTGTTTCATTTTCTACTTGTTTCATCTTGTTACTTCAAATGCCACTTATCATATATTTTTTTGTTTATTTTACTTATCATATTTTGATTTGTATATTTTTTTTTAAACTCGATGTATTTAATAAAATGTTCAATAGTTAAGAAGCTACTACAATTTAACGACCGCCAAATGATATTATGTAGAAAAGGGAAGTATCCTTTTTATATCTATTATTTTATATATAATAAAAATGAAGGTCTCTTATAAATAAAGACTTTAAGATATTTTATTAACGAAATGTAAAGCTAAAATGAAATTCACTTTTGTAAAAGGAAAACATTATTAAAGTCTAGAAAAAGACTAGAGGTTACAAGAATTCCAAAACAATACAAAATGACTTTAGTCAAAGGAAGCATTATTAAAGTTTAAACAAAGACCATAGACTAAAATGAATTTCAAATGATCACTATAGGCCATGCTCTCACGTCATTGAGGAAATATTACAATCATGACTATGGTAAGATAATAATAAATAAAGACCAAGACTATAGTGACTTTGATTAAAAAATGAATAAGGAAGACCTAGACCTTAATAGAATTTTGTTTTAATTTGTTTATTTGATTTTGATTTAACGTATAAAAAAGTAAAAAAAAAAAATTAAATTTTATAATCCTAAGTTAAAGATATGTCGAATGTGTTAAAATAATTTTTATTCTTGTGATATTAAATATTTCGTGTTAAAATTAATTCCAATTAAAAATTTGTCAAAAAAAAGAAGCATACTTTTTGAAACGGATTAAAACAATAAATAAAATTAACATATTAAAACGGAGAACCCCCCCCCCCCCCCCCCAAGGGAGTACCACTATTAGACTAAAGGATTGTTTGATAGAGTGTATAACAATAGTGTTGAATAAGATGTATTAGTAACACTGACATTATTAATGTTGGTATCAGTTAATTTGTAAAAAAAATAATCTTTACAAAAAAACCCTCCACAAAGTACAATTGAAAGGATGTGAAAAAGGTTTTGAGGGACAATTGTATCTTTATCCATACTAATACATGTATTAAAATTTCTTGCATAGTTAATGCCATGATTTTTCATGTGTAACTGTGTAACTATGCATATCATAATACCAAATAGAAAGGTTGAAAAAATGTACCAAATAAGATATTAATAATACACAAAGCTATTACATACATTATTTATTTTAATGCATCCTACCAAACGATCCCTAAAAATTTTAGATAGTCACTTGATTTGCTTTTCCATTACATTTTATTAATAATAAATTTTGATCTTTCTTATGCAATCTCACTAGATATGTTGTTGTATTACTTTGATCATTTAAGAAGAGAAGTCAAATGACAGAGTAAACATTGAAATTTTGTGGAACTCTACGAGAGGCGTTCAATATAGTTAGGATTCTTGGAAGCTACTCTATCCTAAACCCTAACTTATGCATATATAAATTATATTCAAATTTGTCATTGAGGGGTACCTCGATTTACTATTTGTATCTGTTATATGTTATTATATAAATAAAAATATCGTGTAATAAAGAGGTATCTCGATTTTTGCACAAATTCATAGAATATTCACAAAGATCAATGAAGATCAAATAAATTTGAAAAATATCACAAACTTTTGGGTACTTATAAAGATCAAGATCTTGAATATCTCATAAATTGATATTCATAAAGAGATCAAGATATGTCAAAGTATTCAAATACTTCAAGTAGATCCATAAATCTTTTTATGGAGATCAAGTCCAAATCATCCAAATTCGAGAAATACGCCACTAACAATCTTCGAATTGTGAAGATATAATCCAAATCATTATAGTTCGAAAAATACGTTGCTAACAACCCTCGAATCACGGAGAAAATTAAGAGAGAACAATCAAGGGAACATACTGATTTGTACCCACATGTTTTATCAATAATATTCTTGTTTATTCAGATTTTTTTTATGGTTAATTTATTTCCATATATTTATGGCATGCCAATGTCTAATGTAAATCTTCAAATTTTGTTTATTCCAAAAAAAATAAATAATTGAAAAACTATTTTGATGGAAATGAACGATAATGGTGTATTTGTGCTGAAATTCTTGATTCAAACATTGTTTCATCACTTTGGAAGTATTTGAGATGAAAGTTTGCAGACTTCATTAGAGCTCATTTGAAGCTTCTTGCAAACTAAACTTAGAAATGATCTTGTTTAAATAGTTTTACTATTCTTTTTACTCAAAAAATATTTGGAGCATACAAATGACAAATGTCCTCATTTAATTTGACACTTCCGCAATGCTAGATTTTTAAAACGAAGTTGAAATATGTAAGTGACAGATGATACCAACTTTACGTGTCTACCTATGGATTCCGCCAAGTTAAATAAGAACAGCAAACTACAACAATTTGGCGTTTTTCCGAGCTATAGCAAAGAGCGAATTAAGCAAATTAGGATCAAGTTTCTCCAGGCAAGTGCTTTGGAATGGCTGACGATACAGAAGAATATCTACTGAATAAACTTGATTCATCACTACAGCAAGCGAAGGGAAGTGAAGATTGTCTATCAAAGGTCCTCTTTAATATCCAAACACATTTTGAAAACGTAATTGGTTTGCTTCGAGATGTCAACAATGGTGATCTTTCAGAAGCGGGTGGTGAATCGAGCCGTAGGGGAAACCTTTACTATCTCCTCAATGCTCTTGCGAATTGGCAAATGGTAATGGAAAGGAAAAGCATTTACTCTCCTGAGGGAATCCGATTCGCTGTTTCACTTAACAGCAAATTGAAGAAAATGGAAAGTGCACTTAAAGGAGAAAAATCAACGTCTAGTGGTGGAGGTTCAGAGAGCAAAATTATTATGACTGAATCTCAGTGGAGTTACAGGACAGTAGATCGAAACAGAGTATTCGGGTTTAGTGAAAAGGAAAATTTCATGGTGAGATTCCTTATCCGGAGAGACAATGAAGTTAACGGATTTAAGGCAATTGGTATTTCTGGTGTGGCTGGAGTTGGGAAGACGACGCTATGCCAATTGGCTTTCAATAATGAGCAAGTAATGAACAACTTCTTTCCTCGGATTTGGGTTTGTATGTCAAAATCACCCGAGGATGTTGATGACTACTATAAGGAAGACGTTTTAAAAAGGATGCTCAAGTGTCTCGGTGTTGAAGACCAAGTGATCGAATTTACAGGAGAAAATCGAGGTCTATTGGGTTTACTTTTTGCTCTCCGAAGTGTACTGAAAGGTAGAAGGTATTTGATTGTGCTTGATGACGCCTTCTATTTCCACGATTTCTTTGATAACATATGGTCGGAACCAAAACTGGAAGATAATTGCACTGAAAAACTCGCGCTTGGATTGCCAAAACAACAGGGTGGAGCTGTTATTGTCACAACTCGATCAAAGGAATTGGCGAAGGAAATGGTTGGCGAGGAGATCGTATATCCCCTTTTGCCATTGAATGATAAGAGTTGTCGGGAGATATTGATAGATTCAGCAGGAGAAAGAGTGGAGCAATTGCTTAAATATCAGACTGATAAAGATTTAGAGGATACAATTATGAGCAAATTAGGTGGCCTCCCTTTGGCTGCCAAGATCATGGGGGAAATCATGAAAGAACAACTTGACAAAGTACCAGCATACACAACACCACTCAGCTGAAACCTATATCAGGACATCGATTTTCTGAGAAGATGCAGCTCTAATCGCAACCCATAAACAAGAATTCACGATTTTTTTTTCTTTCGATTTCCACTGAATATGTCAGCAATTAATCAGTCTTGTGTTGCTCTCTTGTAACTTGTTATTCGAAGTTCAACGGTATTTCAATGTATTTTCTGTTTGACCATAATTGTTGTCATTTGATTAATGTTATACTCCTTAGTTATATGATCTTTTTCACTGATAATACTCCGTTTCAATTTGTTTGTCTTAATCGAAAGACATTTCGGTACATTCCACATATCTTAGCTTTTGTTTGATGTCTTAATCAAAAGACATTTCGGTTCATTCCACATATCTTAGCTTAAGATCTTCGTAGGGTCATTTTCAAATGTCAAATCCTTTTAGAGTTTAATATATTTCACATACTGAAATTGTAAAGATACGACATTTGAGTGTTACTCAACCTCAAAAGTTAGCTCATGAGAGGAGGATTCCCCAAGTCTATATAAGCAGACCGCCAATCCATTCCCCAACCAATGTGAGACTTTTACCCACTCTAACAAACTGTTCATTTGACTTCAGATATATCTTGATCTAAATACCTTTTAGAGTTTGATAAATTTCTTTTATTCCTATTAAAACTTGCTCATCTCTCTCTTTGCTTCATCAACAATGGCAACTGCAATCGACCATGTTTACTCTGATATAATCCATTCTGAAAGGTATTCAGATCAAGATATATCTGAAGCCTCCACTGGAATACAAAGTGAAGAGGAAGAACATCTCCACCGATCAACTTCCACGCCCCAACAGGAGCCGGTCCCTCACATTAGAAACCAACAATATATGACTAATGAGGAAATGAAAGCAAAGAAGCTGTATGAACTGATGGATGATGATCTTCAATTCATCGACGAGGCCTATGAGAATATAAAAAAATACAAGGCTGAGGTCGTGAGACAACAGGAGCGTGCGAAGGAGAACCTTAAATATAAAGAAATTTCCAATGTCGAGAAGGTCGTTATGAGGTTGAAAACAGAAATCCCCTCAAAGGTGAAAGTTAGGTACTCGGCGCCAACAGTTAGAGATGCAAAGAAGAAAGAGAATCTCCCCAATCGCGAGAAGAACGAGCATCTAGATGGAGTTCATTCTTTTTATAACAAGGATCTGTTTAAGAACAATGTGATATTCAAAGAATTCAAGACAAGTTTCAATCTCCTCAATAGTGAACACAAACAATGCCTTCTCTGTTTTGCTCTGTTCCCAAATGGTGCAACAATCAAGAAGCGGCTCCTGATGTACTGGTGGATTGGCGAGGGATTCATTCGATCTGATGTAAACGCAGAGGCTGATGCAGAGAAGGTCTTGAAGGAACTCATTTCAAAAAACTTCATCCATCCAGTTTACGACAAGTGCCCTTTTAAGAAAAAAGCTCATAGCTACAAGTTGCATCCTTTGGTTCATGCTGCAGTACCTATACTGGCTGAGAGGGAAAATTTCATTGATTCTGATGACCCCATGAGAGGGCATACTCGTTTTCTAACATCTTGTCTGGTTTCTCGGAAAGACAAGAAGTCGGAGTCCCATGGCAAGAACAAGTCCAATTCCAATACGCCATCAAAATCAGACAACTCTAAGCCCATGGCTCATGTGGTGTTCAATTTGAATGAAACCTTTCTACGGCTTAAGCACGAATGGCTTATCGAGATGAAGCATGTGAACATTCTTTACTTGGGAAGGTGGGATAGCACAAGCAAGAAGCATATTGAAGTGGAGGAACCTAAAGATTTAGAAGGCTTAGCTAACTTAAAGTATGTTAAATTCTTGAGTTTGCAAGGAATTTCAGGGATAACAGAGATCCCTGAGTCAATTTCCAAGTTATGGAACCTTAATGTCTTAGATCTCAGAGCTTGTCACAGTCTTGAGGTGATCCCGCGGGGCATTGGTTCACTTCATAATTTGACACACTTGGATTTATCGGAGTGTTACTTGCTCAGTGGTATGCCAAAAGGTCTCGGGGCACTAACAAATCTCGTGGTTTTCAAGGGATTTGAAGTTGCAGATTCAACAGACAAATCACACTCATGCACTCTGGATGATTTGTTGGCCATGAAAAACTTAAGTAAATTAAGTATTCATACACAAATCGAGGATTTCCCTAGACGGAGTGACTTGTCCGTGCTTGTGAATTTCAAACAACTCCGCATCCTAACTATAGAATGGGGAAGAAATTTGTTTGGGAATCCAGACTCGAGTAGTGTTCCAAAACATGGGGGAATTGTGAAAACATTGAATCGTTTAATTACAGGGAAGGAAGATGGGAATGTCTCATATGTAATCGGTTTTCCTCCAATATTGGAGAAGTTGGACCTGAAATGTTATCCTAAGCGAAGTGCAACCACTTGGCTAAAACCTGAGAATTTGGGGAAGCTGAATAAACTGTACATCAGAGGAGGGGAACTTGGCGATTTGGGTCAGTTCGAGTTTAGAACTGATCCAAAATCTTGGAATAACGTGAAAACACTACGTCTCAAGTACTTGATGGAAATAGCGATGGAGTGGATGGAATTTCGAGAATTGTTCCCGAAAGTTGAATATTTGGAGAAAGTGAAATGTCCAAAGCTCACTATGTTCCCCTGCAATGCCCATGGAATTTGGAAGTACAAGACAAATACATTTTAATGTTCATCAACTCACTATCATCCAATCTTGTAATGGTTGAATTCGACGTCAAAACGATACCTTTAAGTTCCTTCTCCATCAATCTTGTACATTTTTTTGTAGCTATGAGTAATTACTTTGTCTTTTATTACTCAGAATGTATTGCAATAATCTTATGTGATTAATGTAAAATTGATCTTGTACAAAATAACTTGATATACACGAACGTGTTCAGAAACTAGTACTATCATAAAAAGACCAAAACCCTCTTAGTGCTACTTCAGGAAAGCTAAAGCATATTCACTTGTCTGCCACAAAGTTCAAAAGGTTACACTTATATGATTGTCTTCAAGCTATTGGTATCTTTAGCTTTTTAATTCATTGATTTGATTTGAGGCATCAAATCTATCTCCTCCAATCATGTCTAAGATATTATAAAATATTAAATGATTAAAACCATGCATCACCAAACATGAAAATTCTGTCTAAGATATTATAAATATAAATTATTCTTGACTCACCCAAGTCAATTTTTTTAAGTGTTAGAACATGTGAGGAGAGAGAAGCATAACAAGAAATAATACTTGATAAATTTAATGACATACTTTTATTGAGTCAAACTAAAGCATAAATTAAAAAGTACGATAATTGATATAAGCACTTCATTACTTTAACTATAGAATGAAAAGGATAACCTTGAATAAGGGATTTATAAAACCAAAAGATAAATTTATATAGATAAAAATGAAAGAAATACTAAAAGAAATCTCAAAGTTTTAAATTAAATAATTGGAGGTTATGAATATTAAGAATAACAACTACATAGATAAATAGATATGAGTTATGAAAGTAAATAATTAAAAAAAAATAAGGAGAAAAATAATAAATAAATCCAATTTTGAAAAGAATATTTTGCAAAGGATAAAGTGAAATGTAACACAAATATTGATAGGTTCTACTTTTCTACTTGGTTGGTTACTAACACAAATTAAAATGATTACATCTTATAAAGACTGTACATGAAAAAATAAACAAATCATTCAGAGGTTACTTAAGAACTATTATAAACTATGTAATGTAATAAATATAATGATGGTAGAAATTCCTCTTCCACCAATTCAAGGAAGATCAAAGGTTGAAAAAGACTAATGATTCTTAAAATTAATAATAAATTTATTAAGACCTCAAGAATAAATTAAATTTGTTATAATAGACTATACAAAGGCCAAAAAACACCATACAAGAAGATTACAATATTTAAGTTATTTAACAAAATTAATAATTCGTTTTTTGACTTAATACCTTCCCACTTTAAGTATTTAGTATATAGAATTATTATTTAAAATTTAACTAATTACATGTTTTATAACATTTTTGATTTAATAAAGGGGTAAAATTTTGCACTTTCGAGCTTTACACTTTTCGTAATATATAAGTATGTGTTGCTTCACAAATTCGAAATAGAGAGAGTAATAATTTAGAGAGTTGATATCTTAAAAGGTCTCAATTATGAGAATTTGTGTTGCAAAGTTATTGAACTTTATTTTGTATCAATAAAATCACTCAACTTTAAACTTTTATCTTATAAAAATAACTCCACTAAATTTATCATTAACAAATCTAATATGACAAAATATGTTAGGTAAGCATGAATTCCACGAGTAAATAAAATTAAAGAAAATCAATTTCTTATACCCAACAAATTGAATGACGGATTCAGGTGGATGATTAAATATATTTAACGAGCATTTTAGCAGGAAATTGAACTCTAAAAATGTGTATGTTATTAATAAGAGAAAAATAATTACTAATTAAAGTAATAATAAAAAAGTTGGACTAGTAAAAGAACATCACACTACAGTCAAAATATTACACATAAAACTTCATGTAGGATGTATGTGTTGTGGTCATTTGCTTCATGCCTTTAGTATTCCTATTCAATTTGTAGGGAAGGCCATAACTGCTGATGCACTAACAATTCGGAAAGCTGAGAGCCACTACAAAAGGGTTGGTCAAAAGTTCAGATACGGTCAGATGCAAAGAATGTCATACAAAAGAATTTGATAACATCTTGAGAAATAGAGACCATTTGCAAGGATGTCTGACGATTGATGAAGTCTTTTGAATAAATCAAGATTATATATATTCCTCGAACATGGAATGTATTAGTTCATAGTCTAGCTAAAATTTCTATTTCATGTATAAATAGGATTTCTTGAGATTCTGCCTTCCCAAGTTGTGTTGTAACAGATGCAATGATGTCTTATGAACATCTGAATCATATTTTAAAGTAGTGCAATAAAAAGTTTTCCTGAAAGAAAAAAAAATCTACTAGAGCACCTAAAATTGAAGGGCATAAATATCCGTTGAAGTCATGTTAAAAAACACATTTATGTATTATGCGTGTCAGCATATTTTGGAGCAAGTCAAGGTGAAGTCATTTTCTACTAAGCAACTTATTATTGCTTCTTCACCAAAACAAGATGCATTTGTAAAAAGAGTGAATTATGAATTTCAATTTGAAGAAGATATGGGACGCATGGGATATTCGTGCTGTGATTCTCTTCAGCCTTACTCTCCAAATAATCCTCATTTTTTTCGCGCCGCTTAGAAAGCGCGTTTCAACTGTCTACCTGACACTGCCCCTCTGGTCCGGCTACTTGCTCGTAGAATGGGCTGCTAATTTTGCAGTTGGACACATCTCTGACAGCAAAGGGGATGATAACCGCTTTGCTGCCGAGAACAAAGTTCAAGATGTTCTTGTATTCTGGGCACCTTTTCTGTTAGTACACCTCGGGGGCCCTGACACTATTAGTGCCTTTGCCCTCGAGGATAACGCCCTGTGGCACAGGCATTTCCTGGGACTTGTGACACAGGGTAGCTCTGTGGCCTATGTTTTTTTCCGAACAGTTTCCAAAAACAAACTGTTGATCCCAACAGTGCTGATATTTGTGGTTGGAGTTATCAAATATGGTGAGCGTATTCGGGCTCTGTATCTTGCAAGTTTAGATCGATTTCGAGAGTCTATTATGAAAGATCCTGATCCCGGACCAAACTATGCCAAGCTGATGGATGAATACTCTTCGAAGAAAGCAGCTAACCTACCGACGAACATAGAAATGATCCACGAGTTCTATGGAGATAATTTGGAGGAGGAAAAGTCAGTTAAAAAGGGGCTATCTGATCTTGAGGTAGTGGAAGAAGCTCATTACTTCTTTGAGAAATTTAAAGGACTAATTGTTGATCTCATATTTGACTTCCGCCAACGGAATGAAAGTCGAAATTTCTTCCTCAGCTTAGAAGCGATTGATGCTTTTCGAGTTATTGAGGTTGAACTCAATTTCATTTATGATGTTCTTTTCACCAAAATGATTGTGGCTAACTCTTACTGGGGTTATGTACTTCGATTCATCTGTTTCCCTCTCGAAATTGCTGCCGCAATCCTCTTCTACCGTTGGGATAAAAGGGGACTTCCAAGGTGGGAGATCGGAGTCAGTTACACACTTCTCCTTGGTGCTCTTATCTTGGATTTCACTTCCTTTTTTATGATCCTTTTCTCGGACTGGACGACAGTTGCCCTGAAGAAAAAGGGGTATGTGTTATGGCGTTTGCGTAAACCAGCTTGTGGATGGTTGAGCCGCAGGTGGGCTGAATCCATTGCACAATTCAACTTGATTAACTATTGTGTACGTGGGCGCTCCAAGCGTAAGGAAAGCATATATCAATGGTTTGGGATTGTTGATGTATTGAATCGAGTCGTGTATGTGAAGTGTGAGAAATTCACTGACCAAATGAGGGACTTCATCTATGAAGAAATAAAGAATAAATCTTCACTCGCGGAGGATTTAGAAACAGCAAAGGAAATATGGTTAGCCAAAGGAGATTGGACACTTCGTGCCAATAGCTCTAGTCATCTGCTGCCCTATATTACTGAGTCTAATTTCGATGAAGTCCTTCTGGTATGGCACATTGCTACTGAACTCTGCTATAGTAAAGTTAATATTGTTATCGATGAGAGTTCCCCTGTCAATTACCGTGAGATCTCAAAGATTCTTTCAGATTATATGCTCTATCTCCTTGTGATGCAGCCTTCAATGATGTCGGCTGTGGCAGGTATCGGACAGATTAGATACAGAGACACTTGTGCTGAAGCCGAAAAGTTCTTCCTCAGCAGAAACATAATGAAGAGTACTAATAAGGATAATCAAGGCTGCAATAATTTCTTTACTTGTAGCTGTCTAAAGAGAACAATGAATGATGAGGAAGGCGAGCAAGTCCATAAGCGTAGAGAGGAAAAACATGTAAGAGCTTGTAAAGCGATCCTTGAAGTGAACGCGGTGGTGAAGCCAGTGCAAGTGAAAGGGGATAGAAGTAAATCAGCCTTGTTTGATGGACGTCGTCTAGCCAAAGAGCTTGATCATGGCATCGATAAATGGGAGCTAATAAGCAAAGTATGGGTTGAAATGCTGTCCCATGCTGCAATTAACTGCAACCCCAATGAACATTGCCAACAACTTAGCAAAGGAGGACAGCTTATCACTTTGGTCTGGTTGTTGATGACTCATTTTGGTTTGGGAAACAATTTCCAAATTAGTGAAGGTCATGCTAGGGCAAAACTCATTGTGGGCAAGTAGCTTCTTTTTTTCCCAACATGTGTAGGTTGTTTTGTGTTTCAACATGATGTTGCTTATTGTGATCTTCTTGATCATTTACATGTCTTTTCTTACATAAATCAGTCTTTTCTCAAAGTTCGATGGCATATTAAATGTTCTATTATATTATATTTTGATTTACAGTAGGGTCGAAGTTGTAATATAATTTTGAAGGTAGAAGCTTTCCACTTTCTGAAAGTTGCTATACATCCTTGCGGGGAGCTTGTCAGGCTCAAACCCAAGACAACATAGAAAAATAATAGATTTAAGGACGGAGAAGTCCCACCAGTGCACCACAATCCATATTGGTTTAACATGTATTTCATAACAAGTAGACAAGGAGATTCATGTATTTGAAGTTAACATACGGGATATTTTTCATTTTTTTTTTTTTAAAAATAATATGCTAATGAAAAATGCGATCTTTAAAGTTTTCCTTTTAATAAAAATATTTATATTGAAAAAATTTATATCAATATTAATATATACTAATGTCATTGTTATAAATTGGGCAAAACACCAACTACACCTCAAAGAGTCTCAAATTTCAGCCTTGGATATGGAGTGAGACTTTTCAGCTTGAATCCAGATTTCATCGTGTCCCAAAACAAGTATAGGACATAGACGGATTTTTTTTTTTTAAAAAAAGACAGCAACATCAGCAACAACAACATACCCAATATATTCTTCCTCATAGATGAGATTTTAAAAAAATAGACTGTACATAGACTTTACCTCTACCTTGTCAAAGTGGGGAGGCTAAAGAAAAAACACAACATTTATAAGCAATAGCAGAATAGTAAAAAAATAGAAGCATACGAGACAACAAATACTAATAGAGAAATAATAAAAATACGGAAATAGTAAAGTTACGAAAATAGCAAAAATAATACTAATGCAACTAACCATCTACTCAAATCCTCGACTTGGATCTACGTCCTTCTATCAAAATTTATTTATTCAAAGGTCATATGCTGGATAAACGGAAGGTTGGACATGTCGCACTGATCACCTCTCTGTTTTTTGGGCAAATCCCAAACTTTTCCAATCTTGAAGAAAAATAAGAGAAGAAGGGAGAGTTAGAAATGGCAGAAAAGAGTAATCTGTCCCAAGAATTCACACTTCCCAAACACAGACACAAGCTAAAGGTCATCGAGCGGCCTCTCGATGAGGACTCTGTTTGCAACATGTGCTTCCTGAGCTGCAAAGAATCTAATATCCATGCTTGTGAGATCTGTAGGTTCCGGATACATGTTTCATGTGCTCAGGGAATAGAAGAATGGAAACTGAATCCTGCAGGAAGTCGTAAACAACATGATCATTTCCTAATTCTCCAGCGAAGGCCCGCCACTTTCCATTGTGATGCTTGTGGTAAGGAAGACAATAAAGAGCCCTCTTATCTATGTACTGAATGTCAATTCTGGATACATAACAGCTGTGCCAATTTGGACCCGGAGTTCAACCACGGAGACCATGACCACAAGCTCTCCCTCGAGTTTTCTCTTCCAGAAGAATTTCGAGAATTCAAACTCTCCTGCGAAGTCTGCAGCGAAAAACTCCTTCCTGCTTATTGGGTTTATCATTGTGGTCCTTGCAGATACTTTGTACACGTCAAATGTGCCGGGAAAAAGAGAATGTAAGGACTTTTTTCTCATTCTTAGATCTATCTATACACTTTCTATTGATTAGATCATGTAGCTAGGCAACCAACTGAGCTATTAAGATCCCCGATTGTTATCTCCGAAAATTAAATTAACTCTACTGATTTCTGTATTTTACGGTTTCAGGGCAGCTGATGATAACATCGAGGCCTTTCCTAAGTTGAACTTGGCCCTGCTGCCAGAGGCTAATGAAACTGTGCAACTTATAGTAAGGTTTCTTAATCAAAACGGCATTTTAGAAAATCTAATGCCATTGCAGATTGACAATTTTCAACACAAGATGCATTCGTTAGTTCTTTCAAATAACACAAACAAGGATAAATTAGTCTGTGATGGCTGTGTTGGGCCTATTGTTGACCGGCGGTATTATAGTTGTCAACAGTGCAGTTACTTTCTACATATAACTTGCTCTCAGTTACCGGGAGATCTGGAGCTGTATCATCCATTTCACCCGGAACATCCACTTTACATAAGGCATCCAGAGTATTGCTGTTTCTTCCGGCAATGCAGTCATTGTAAATTAGACACTAACGGTTGGTGGTTTGAATGCACAGAGAGAGATTGTGGCTTCCACCTTGATATGAAGTGTGCTTTTATACCTAAAGCTATTGCTCATAGATCACATAGGCACCCCCTTTGTCGAATTTCAGTTTCCAATGTCGATTGCAGCGCTTGTGGCAGACGCCTCTCTGGTTTGTCATACGGTTGTAAAGCCTGTGGTTTCTACCTAGGAAATGATTGTGCTCTATTGCCGGCTACTACCACCCACAAATGGGATGAACACCCACTTACTCTCATTTTCCCCCCTTTCACTGACCATCCAGATGAATTCTTGTGTGAGATCTGTGAAACATTTGCACATCCCAAGTATTGGCTCTATCATTGTAGGGAATGTGATCAATCTTTTCATCCACATTGCATCCCTCGACATGGTATGTCTCGCAATATCAAGTTTGGTAGCACCATCCAAATTGCTGAGCACTCACTAAAATTAGTCGAAAAAGGTGAATTTAAGTCCCAGTGTGGTGTATGTCGAGACCATTTGTATGAGACAGAAGCCCTGCTCTGCACAGCTTGTAATTTGCATATTTGCCGCAAATGTATTTGTGTCAATCTGAAAAAGGAGGATACAGCAATTATATCGCCTTGCAGTAAAACTCTCGGGGATTCTTAAGCAATTATGTTGTTGGTTCAAATTACTACAGTGTATTCATTTGCTCAATTTTTAATGTGGAAAAAGGTTTCCTATTTGATTCACAGATTTAAATTTGAAAAAGAATAACAGAGAGAGAGAGAGAGGAGATTCATAATGCACCAAACCGGCAAAATTAATCCAATTGGCAAATTACCCTTAGACTAGCAGAGAGAGGAGATTCACCGACATTGAATCATATCATATCGTATTATAGTAATATAATATTTATTTATAAGTAAAGTGAGTACAAACAATGCTTGAGTCGTGTTAGACACTGTCCTAAGAATCAAAATTTTATGCACCAGTGCCACCCCCAATCTCAACAATCTGATCTCTAACAAATCTAGCAGCCACCTTATTGTTGACATCCTGAACTTTTACTATAACATTGGAGAGCTGTAACGAACAATGCTAACGAGGACATTCCCATATGATAAGAGCATGTTTTGCCTCGTACACCACATCAGTGACCTCCGTCTCAAGATCATTGACGCAAAGCAAAGATCTGAGAGATACTAGCTCAGTTAAATTTCAAGATGTCCAAGAATTTGAAAAACAACGAAAAGTTACTTCCACTTCAATAATTGAGAACAAGGGCTTCAACATGATTCACATAATCAATTGGGGAGAAAATTCCAAAAGCAAACATTACTTTAACTTTTTATCTACATTTCTTTGTCTACCATATGAAATCAGATTTTTTGAAATCTTATCTAATCAAACACTCACACTTTAATAATGCTGTCATTTTGACCCCACTACTTTTTTAGCTTGCATTGTCATATACCAAATTCTCCATTATTGCTCTTTGAACTTTCATTTCACCACAAATTCTCCAACATGTTAAGCTTTTATGTAATCTCTCACCTTTACTTAGCTGTAACATAGAAAAACAGTAAAAAAGCTGAGGGATTCTTTTGCTCCCAACTTTCCCGTGTTTGCAAGTAGGTTTTAAAATATACTTCTCCGAGACAGAAAAATTCTCTTCTTGCTGATTCTATTTACTTCTACTCCTGAAAAGTATCTAATCCTTTGTATGAAACCTAGTTTATTTATAAGTGAGTACAAGCACTGCTTGAGTCGTGCTAAACACTATCCTAAGAAACTATTTCAGCTATGTGAAATGTTTCCCTAGAATTAAACAAGCTTTTTCTATAAGAAAGAACATAAAAAACAAAATATAATTACTACAAAAACCAGCAAAATGGAAAAATTGCTTGGTTCTTCATTCTTTCTCTGAGGCCCCAATCTTAACAATCTGATCTCTAACAAATCTAGCAGCCACCTTATTGTTGACATCCTGAATTTTCACTATAACATTGGAGAGCTGTAACGAACAATGCCAACGAGGACTTTCCCGTATGATAAACGCACTGATAGCATGTTTTGCCTCGTGCACCACATTTGTGACCTCCGTCTCAAGATCATTGACGCGAAGCAAAGATCTGAGGGATACTAGCTCAGCTTTGACTATTTCAAGTTGATGCCTAATGAAATCAACTGAATCAGTCTTGTTATCAAGGACCACATTAATAGTTTCTAAAAGAAAATCAATTAATCCCAATGAATTAACCTTTGGGATCAGGTTTGATCTTATTGACTTCCAGAGATCAAGATAATTATCTGTAATCATCTCTTTCTTAATCAAATCGATCTCTTCTAGAAGATCAAATAATAGGTACGGATAGTCTCCACTGGCATCATCTTCATTCTTGATGCTTACAAGAAGCCAGTGGATGACATGTGCAGTCTTTGTTACCACAGCTTTGGGACGTGCCAAGAGATCCTTTGCATTTTTCCTGTCATCTATCTTTGGGGGATCCATCAGAAATGCTATCAAAAAATTCAGCTCCTTGGAAAGGTTGCACACATTATCTCTCGCAGAAGACATCAGATATGCTTTGGGACTTAGGAGCTCCTTGAGATCATTACGGAAACAACAGAGAAATCGGATAGCAACTTCAATTTCCATGGGGCTACTGCTCTCCAGCCGCGATGACAAAAACTTCAGGCTTCTGAAGTATGCATACCTCAAGTCTGGCTCAATGAGCTGAATTGTCAGCAAGACCTGAGAGAACTTGGTTTCCATTATCGTATCCATATCCTCGAATACACACTGGAACAAGAGACATGCAGTAGTGGTTGCCGCAACTTCAATTATTCTTAAAACATCTTCTAACTTGTGATGCTCGATGCAACTTCGCGAGCTAAACCAAGCAAAATTCCATAGAAACCGGAACTTCACTTGAAGAATATTGATTTTTTTCTTGATAGAGTCCTGAATAGATTCAGTCTTGTGGCGTAGCAGATCATTCAGATTGTTTGACACTGAGTCAATCAGCTCCACCAAACAGATATTGCTCATTGTAGCATCCAACTGTAAAACAGATCTGTAAGATGTTGTGATTTTCGAGGTGAGATCCTTGATTTTCCCATGCCATGCCTCGGTTACCTTGCTTTCCTCTACCGCGTTGGCACAAAGTAATTGGATGGTCTTTCCAGCATTTTGGACCCAATCTTGGACATAACTGATGAGATAAGTGTCTTCTTCAGTACTCGGCAACTTTTCTGCTGATACCAGAAACGTCTTCATAAATCTTAGGTACATTTTGACGACATTGATTGTGGCGGGATCAGTCAATTTTCTGTAATTCTCCAGCCATTCAAAACACTTCAAGGTGTCGTCCACACACGTATATTGAGCCATTGACAGGAATAACCGGTGCGGTCTGCCATTAAAAAAATAGTCATCATATCATATTATACTATAAGTCAGAACACAATAAGTTGTAAATTTAGATTATCTAACTGACCATATGAGATAAATTACCCCAAAAGATCAGCCAAGTAATTTTTGACACAGTTCAAGTGCTTGATACCATACGGAATCGGATTTGCAGTTTATTTAAAAAGTAGTAACTTTTATTGATTGATGAAGGAAAAAAATATGACTGAAAATGATGAGAACAAGGAAGAAGAAAGGTAGGAAATGGTGTCGAAGAAGACAGAGGAAGGGGGTCAAAATAATAAATTAAAATTAGGCATAATACATAGATATGACCTTAACTTGGCTTCAACGGATAATCATAACCTTTAACTTTGTCAGTGCACAAGTAGACACTTTAACTATTCAAAATGTGAACAAATACACACTTGAATATTGCAGGGTCATATGTGTGAAATACAAACGGTCCTACATGGATTAGTGAGCCTACATGGAATCCTCCACGTATTATATCACGTAGGACACATGTGTCCGTTTGTTCAATTTTATACAAGTTAAAGTGCCTACTTGTGCACACTCAAAGTTGGAGAGCATAGATGTTAGTTGATGCCAAGTTAAATGACATGTTTATGTATTATAATGGCATAATACATAAACATGACCCTTAACTTGACTTCAGCGGACAACTATGACCTTTAACTTTCCCAGTGTACAAGTAGGCACTTTAACAATCTTGAACAATTTGTAACTTAAGACTGAACTCTCTGATAGTGGTATATGCATAAAAATCCTGTTTGAGATCATTGACTTACTACAATGGCATACACCTCTGTTAACTATTCCGTGAATCATCTGATCCGCCTTCTGAGCTCTCGGGGCCTGATCTTTTCAAAAGAAGGCCAGATCCCCATGCTTAAACTGGAGCTCGTCTTCCTGAGAACTTTTCTCTGGTGGACTGCAAAACGCTGTACGGAGAATCAGAATTTGGAACTTCTCTTACTGCAAATCGAAGTTGTGGTGCGAAATGCAATTAGTCATATCCAAGCCAGAGATTCGGATGAGTGGTCTTTTCAAGTATTGCATCACACACGACTTCTCAAGCCAGAGATTGAGAAGACTTACATCAAAATTGTGAAGTCTTCTCCTCCTACGCCAGACACACGGGTGGTGGTGGAGTTCATGAACAATCTGATTGACAATCTGAAGGATCTGCTTCGCTATCCGGACTCTTCCACTTTTTCCCCAGAGGAAGAACTCAGACAACTTGTAACTAAGCTAAGATTCTTGAGAAATCTTCTTAGCTTTGTAGCTACACGTTGCACCGACCATGAGAAGCTGAAACATCTCTCCAATTATGCTGAAGCTATAGCTATAGAAGCAGCATGTCTTCCTTTCATGTGTTCATTTGACCAAAAAGATGGAAACAGTACAAGTTCCATTAAGGACAAGCTCACGGAACTGACACGGAAAATTAATCCTATCACTCCAGACATCAGAAGGATTTACGTGGAAGTCCTCGAAGCACTGAGTCCATTAACAACAGAGACTGACATTTCAGATCCAGACTTGGCATCCTTCATAGATACTCTCCAAGATTGTCTAACAGAGCTAAAACACAATCAGCCACCTTGGATTCGTTCCTTTGAAGCCCTCCACCATGAACTCACCTTCCTCAGCTCTTTCACTAAGGACCCTCCGGAGCAATTCATTGAGAGTGACAACTCGGATGATCCTAAAGTTGATCCAATTCAACTTCTCTTGGGAGAGATGAGAGACTGGAGCACTTCTAGCGCACATCCGTTCAAGCACTATACAGAACATTTGACATTGAAAGGTCAGTTCACCCGTATTCAAGATCTGGCTGTTAAGGTGGGATGTACCATCTTTTTCTTCTTTAATTTCAACGAAATGGAAGAGCACAAGCTTGCGGAAGAAGAAGCTACACTTGTTGATTTAATCGAAAAGATCAAGCACCTTAAGTCGGAGATCGGAGTTCCCATGTTGACATTGCCTGAGGTGAATATCATAAGGACAGATGACCTGGGTTTTATCAGAAATTTGATAGAGCTGATTAACCAGCAGGCAGGTCCACTCGACTGCCTGAAGCGTCGTGTACAGGGAATTGCTGACGAGCTGGAATTCCTAAGTTCTTTTCTCAAAAAATGTGGAGAGAGGCGCCATGAGCACGAGAAACTGAGGAATCTTGCAGGCCAAATAATGACTGTTGCATACAGAGCTGAATATGTCATTGACTCGTTATTGGTAAGAGATGGTACTCTATTCTACCATTCGTTTTGTATTGTTGATGTCGTTGGAGAGATGAAGAGAATCAGAAGGGAGGTCATGGTGTTTGACGAAAAGATGAGCAATGTCATTGAGCCCAAGGTCCTTAATTCGACAATGCCCTCCAGAGACATGGTAAGTGTTGCTATGTCAGAGGAACTAGTGGGCTTAGAGGATGAAAAGGAGAGATTAAGAGATCAACTGATAAATGGATCTCATGCGTTAAGTGCTATACCAATTCTTGGTATTTGTGGACTGGGAAAGACAACTCTTGCCATGAGTCTCTACCACGATGAGCTTGTTGTCAAACACTTTGATATTCGTGCAGCCGTTTCTGTTTCCCATGTATATGACACTGAAAAATTGGTACTTGCAGTGTTGCACAACATCAATGGATATCCTGACACATCTAATGGAGGGGATGGTGATCTGTTGAAAGTAAAAAAAATGATATATTTGTCTTTGAAAGGAAAGAGGTTCTTGATCTTAATAGATGATGTGCGGGATACTGAAGCATACGTTGATTTGGGAAACCTGTTTCCAAACGATTTTACTGGAAGTAGAATTCTCCTCACCACTCGATCATATCAAATAGCTTCATGTGCTGCGCATAGTACTAAAATACATAATCTTCGATTTCTTACAGAAGAAGAGAGTTGGAAATTACTTAAAAAGAAGATATTTCACCAACAATTTTGTCTTCCAGAACTGGAGGAAGCAGGAAAGCACATGGTCAAACAATGTCACGGGATACCTGCCATGATAGTTTGGATGGCGGATATTGTTGCAAGAACAAGGACAGAAGCCGATTGGATACAAGTTGGGGAATGTAACCAAATTGATGAATATCTTTTCAGCATTAATGAAAAAGAATACAGTGTCATACCAGATCATCTCCGTCCATGCTTCCTTTATTTTGGAGCATTTCCGTTGGAGGAAGAAATTCCAGTATCCAAATTGATCAAGTTGTGGGCTGCAGAAGGTTTCATTCAACAAACTGAAGCAGAGAGCTCTGAGGCTGTCGCAATGGATTACCTAAGGTATCTTGTTGAACGAGGTTTTGTAATGGCCTGCCAACGAAGCTCAGAAGGTGAGGTCAAACGGTGTAAAGTCCATGACAGATGGCACAAGTTTTGTTTAGTTAAAGCCAGCCACGAAAACTTTTTTCAGCTGATGGACCTTGGTGGTGGTGTTGATCCTAATGATTCCAATATCCCACTCTCCTTAGCATGTGATCATCGCCGGCTGTTCACTTCATCTAATTGGTGGGACAGTATTACATTACAAGTTTCTGGTCCATTTGTCCGAACCCTGGTGCTAACTGGCAGGAGATGTGATTTATCCACGCTTAATATCTCATCTCTGTATCAAAACTTGAAACTTGTTAGAGTTTTGGATTTAGGGCGTATAAATGTGGGCAATGATTTTCCAGTTGGGCTTGAAAAGATGACCCTGTTGAAGTACTTAGAAGTTCGGGGAGAAATGACTTCAATCCCATCTTCAATCGACAGCCTCCGGCAATTGGAAACTTTTGTTACAATAGGATTACGGGGAGCAGTTGCAATACCTGGTAGTATTTGGAGTCTGACAAATTTGAGGCATTTGCATATAAAGGGTGGTACTTATTCTTTAGGTGCCCCTGAAAAAATGTTGCCAAATCTGAGAACAATGTCTACCCCATTGCTTCGTTACGGGGAAGATTCAGAAGAGATACTGAGAAGATTAGTACGTCTTGAGAAACTGAAATGCATCTTTTTGGACTCATCGAGGAAGAAAAACCTGTTTCCCAAACTGGGAATTCTTGAGCATCTTCAGTCTCTCAAACTACTTTACTATGGTGAAGTGCGAAAGACGTGTGAGTTCAATTTCCCTTCAAACCTCAGAAGGTTGACCCTGTCAGGTTTTCGCCTGCCATGGGATCAAATATCAATTATTGGGGAACTTCCCAATCTTGAGATGTTGAAATTGCTGAATAAAGCCTTTGAGGGTAGTCTATGGGAGGTAAAAGATGATCAATTTCCCTGTCTTAAGTATTTGAAATTAGATACACTAGACCTGGAGGAATGGTACATGTCTGAGGATGCGTTGCCTGAGCTTGAGCGACTGGAGTTGAAGAAATGTAAGAAACTAAGAAAGATCCCCTTGAATATTGATAATCCTCAAAAATACTTCATGGTAGATGACAAGTTGAAGGTCATCATCCGTAACAGATGACATGTTGATTTCTAGATAGAATGAACTTTTTTTTTGCTTATATCAAGCACCTAAATTAAAATAGCATTATTTTCTCAACAATTTCGTCATTTGATTAATTTTACCATTTATATGTGAAGTTATTTAAGATAATACAGCACCGAATAAGTGCATGTAATTTCTAAATGTCTCTAACGAAATTAGCAAAGACATTAACATATACAAATCATATCATATCATCATATCATCATATTATATTAAAAGTGGAAAGGTTTTATGGTCAAAGTTGAATTACGAAAATGCCCTTCACTAATTTTTTTAAGGGAAAAGGGACGGATTTACCCCCGAACTTTAATAAATGGTATGTGTATGCCCTCCGTTATACTTTGCGTCCACATAAGCCCCTGCCGTCCAATTATAGGTACACGTATACCCCTCTCACTAACGGACCCCTAATTTCTTACACGTGTCTTAATCTTATTGAACTACCCGTTTGACCCTTTTTTTTTAACCCATAACCCAACTATCCGCCCCATAACCCAATACCCACCCAATTTCCTCTAAAAGGATCCTAATTAAAAAACACCCAAATTAAAACAACAAAGTCCGTCCCTTTTCCCTAGTCGGAGGTCCCCGCGTATCCCTCACACCAAAACCCTAGTCGGAGCCGCGATTCCAGTTTGTCTTCGTCGATTCCACCTTTGTCTCGTCGAATCTTTCGTGTGTTCTTCGATTCAACTTGTCTTCGTCAAAGGTACCCAAATATCCCATTCGATTTCATAGTTTTCTTGTTTTGCTGTTTTCGATTTGCTTTCATATATAGTAAATAAATTTGTTGTTGCTGTTATTTCGGTAGTTTTCTTGTTGTTTCTTTATTTATTGTGTAAAATATGCATTTTATAGTGAAAATCTTTCTAGGGTTCACGTTCTAGTTATTGGATTAAAGATTTTTTTTTTTTGTTTTAGAGTGTAAATGAAGTACACTTTATAGGGTTTCACTTCCAGAAAATGAAGTTCACGTTTCAGTTTTTGTGTTAAAGAAATGTTTTTTTTTGTTTGTATTCGTGCCTTTATGTTGTGGACCTTTAGTTTATGATTTGTTGGTTTGGTAAAATAGTTTCAGATTCCCTTGACTTGGTCTACTTTATTTTTTGTTGGAATTTTTTGTTTGTATTCATGCCTTTATGTTGTGGACCACTTTGAGTTATTAAGAGATAATGCTTATTTAATTGTTAATTGTGGACCACTTTCAGTTAATAAGAGATAATACTCAATGTTACTAATTGAAATTCTTAACTCAATGTGACTTAATTAACTAACTTACCTACTTTAATCCTAATGTGACTATCTTACTTTATGTGACTAACTTACTTAATCCAAATGTGACTTAACTAATTGACTTACTTAATCCTAATGTGCTTACTAATCCAAATGTGATTTACTTAACTAATATGACTTTCTTAACTTACTCAATGTGACTAAATTAACTAACTTACCTACTTTAATCCTAATGTGACTAACTTACTTTAATCCTAATGTGACTTAACTTACTTATTTATGCTTACTAATTGACTTTCTTAACTCAATGTGACTTAATTAACTAACTTACTTACTTAATCCTAATGTGACTAACTTACTTTAATCCTAATGTGACTTACTTAACTTACTTATTTATGCTTACTAATTGACTTTCTTAACTCAATGTTACTTAATTAACTAACTTACTTTAATCCTAATGTGACTTACTTAACTTACTTATTTATGCTTACTAATTGACTTTCTTAACTCAATGTGACTTAATTAATTAACTTGACTTACTAATTGACTTACTTAATCCTAATGTGACTTATACTCACTGTTACTTATTTACTAATTAACTTACTTATTTATGCATACTAATTGACTTTCTTAACTCAATGTGACTTATACTCACTGTTTTATACTCACTGTTACTTATGTTATTTCATAACTCTTTGTAGGTCATTAACATGGTTGAAGTTACCATATACTTTCATCATGGTGGTGAGTGGCTAACCAGTCCAGAACCACATTATGATAGAGGATGTGTGACTTATTGGAAAGGGTATGATCCTGACCTAATATCTTTTATTGACTTAGTGAATGAGTACATTAATAAGTTAGGTTTTGTTGGTGTGCAAGAACTTATTGTACTTGCTCCAACTGGGAAATATTTTGAAATAATAGGTGATGAGGGAGTTAAGACCTTAACATCTTTTATCTCTACTGAGTATAAATCTATTCACTTGTTTGCTACTGAAGATTGTGAATTGTCTGTTGATGTAACTGATATTATCATGCATGATGGGTCATTTCTACTTTCACCAATTGTTAATGAGGGCACAGACTGTAGTGAAAGTGAAGATGACAGTAATAATGGAATGGTGTTTAGTTGTTCAGATTATGATACAGATGAATTAGAAAATTTTGTTACTAAAAAAAAAAGGAATATAACTGATAGTTTGCAAGATTATAAGGAGATTGTTAAGGGTATGGCCTTCAAGGACATAGCTGAAGCAAAACAGTTTTGTAAACTTTATGCTCTAGCTAAGAAGGTAGAACTAGTTGTGGTGAAAAGTGATAAAAAAAGATTGAGGTATACATGTGTTGCTGATGGCTGTCCATTTTTACTTCTTATTTCTGGGGATTTGACCACTCCTGGAGTTAGTGTCAAAACACTTGTAGATCATATAGAGTGTGGAACAGCATATGATAACTCTTTAGTAGATTACTCAACAATAGCCTTGTATTTTAAGGACAAATTGCAAAGTGACCCCAAATACAAGGTCAAAGAAATGAAGGCTGATTTACATAGAGTTTTTGAGCTAAATGTAAGTGAAGCAAAGTGCAAGAGAGCCAAAAAAGAGGTATTGGAGAGTTTAGAAGGTAGCTTTGTAGACTCTTACAATAAGTTAGAGGGTTATGCTACTGAATTGAGAAGTTGTAATACAGGGTCTGACATTGTGATAGATTTGTCTAAACAGGCACTATCTAATGGTAAGAGAAAATTTCTTAGGATGTATATCTGCTTCAAGGCAATGAAGTTGGGTTTTAAGTCTGGGTTAAGACCACTTATTGGGTTAGATGGTACATTCCTTAAAGGGAAAACTAAGGGACAAGTATTGTGTGTTGTTGGTCAAGACAGTAATAACTCTTTCTACCCTCTAGCTTGGGCTGTGATAGATAAAGAGACTAAGAGAACTTGGACATGGTTTATGCAACATTTGCAACATTCCCTTGAACTTCAAAATGGTGAAGGACTGACATTCATATCAGATATGCAGAAGGTAATATTATACAACTAATTTGCAATTTATTTTCCTTTGCTTGATACTGTTTCTTTTATTAATTTTAGTTGTTTTAATTTGATACTTAGGGGCAGCTTGAAGCAGTAAGGACAGTCTTACCTGAAGCACATCAGAGATATTGTGCAAGGCATATTGAGGCAAATTGGTGCAAAAGATGGGGTAAAGGTGAGCTGAAAAAGTTGCTATGGTGGGCTGCATGGTCATCATTTACAGAGGAGTTTGAGGACCAACTTCAAGAGATGAAGGAAGTTAATGGAGAGGCTGGACAGGATTTAATAAACAAGTATCCTCCCAAAACATGGTGCAGAGCTTATTTAGATACAGTGTGCAAAAATCAGGCTGTGGACAATAACTTTACTGAATCATTCAATGCCTGGATACTTGAAGCAAGGTACAAGCCAATTATTGGAATGTTGGAAGACATCAGGGTCAAAACAATGGAGAGGCTGGCAGCAAAAGAGTTGCTGTGAGGAAGTGGAAAGATGATGGATTTAGTCCCAAAAGTGAGTTGTTGTTTATTCAGTATTTGAAGATTTCCAAGGTTTGTAAGGTGAGTGGCAATGGGGATAATGGCTATGAGGTTACTGAAGGTGCAGATAGACACATTGTCAACTTAAGAGATAAAAAATGCACATGCAGAACATGGGATCTGACTGGAATTCCATGTCCACATGCAATTAAGGCCATGGAGCACAAGAAAATGATACCAAAGAAAGAAATTCATTGGTATTATAGTAAAGAGGCAGCATTGGCAGTTTACAAACACAAGTTACAACCTGTTAGGGGAGAACCATTCTGGAAATGTGATCATTTGCATGCCATTGAACCACCAGAATTGGTCAAGCTTGTTGGTAGACCTAAGCTTATGAGGGAAAGAGAAAAGGATGAAGCTGTTAAGAGGCAAGGAGTATGGAAGCAAACAAGAAAAGGAAAAATGATGACATGTAGTAATTGTGGAGAACAAAATCACAATGCAAGAGGATGTGAAAAGGTAATTTTCATTTAATCTTTAATTTCATCAAATAATTATTCTATTTTACTATTTAATTCTATATCTTCTATTATGATTAATAAGGCAAAGCAGGGGAAACAACCTACTAAGAAGCAGGGGAAGCAACCTGCTAAGCAAGGAAAAGAATCTGGCAAGGGAAAAAAGAGGAAGCAACCTGCTAAGCAAGGAAAAGAATCTGGCAAGGGAAAAAAGAGGCAACTTAGGAGAGGTTTAGTTGATGAAGATGAAGCTTCTGAGGAAGACATCAACTGCACAGCCCCACAACCAACACAAGAAAGTCAATTTGAATATACTTCTTCCAGCAGCTATTTTCCAGTAGCTGAGGATGATGATGAAGACCCTAGGCTAAGGCCAAGAACAATCTCAGAAGAAGCTTTTCTAACAAGATTGAGAAAGAAACAGAACCCAGAAGAACCAATTGGAAGTAGAGTAATACGCTTTAGAGGTGACAAATTTGGTGTTAGTGAACCTATAAATCTTCCCATAGGACCAACTGGCTTAACTTGGAATGGACAGGGTGCAGTTACTACAAACCAGCTACAAAAGTTGAGGCCAAGAAGAGGATGATGCTATTGTGTTGGTACTGCTTTGTATATGTTGGTGCCTTATTGATGTTAAGGCTAAACTTGTCTTTTTGCTATGTTTTGTATAGGCTGGTGCCGTAAATGATGTTAAGGCTAAACTTATTTTTTTGGTATATTTTGTGTAGGCTGGTGCCTTAAATGATGTTTTTGTGATGTTTTGGTAGTACTGTAGGCTGATGCCTTTAAGGTTAAAGTTGTAGCTTTGGTACTATGTTTTACTTCTACTGTTTGTATAGGCTGAGTGTATCAGCTAAAACTAACTGTCGTTTTGCTTATATATGACCAAGTGAATGTTATATAGTGTCTTGTATCTGTTGGGTTCTGTTGATGTACAATAGTATTTTGCTGTGGTATACATTTTTTTAGACCATTTTCTCTGTCAATGGTTGACAGGTTTCCAAACTAACTGTTCGCAGGTTTCCAAAGAAGTCCAATTTGGCAATATTGCCATCCATGTTGAATGGATTTCCAAGTCCTAGATTTATTAGAGCTAATGGCAATCACAGAGTTGGTGTTGTGAGTTGAAGAATCACCAAGCAGTCACAGCAAGCAAAGCACGATTTTTAAATTTAAGACTTTATGGATGATGTTAAACCGAGTTTCTGATGCTGTCTGATAAGTAATGGAATTTTTGTTCGCTTAAAAAAAAAGTTAGTGACTTTCATGTTGATAGTTTAATAGTGTCTTTGTGCAAGTTTAATAACACCTGAAAACACGTTTCATAAACAATGGTAAGACAAGCTTTCATTTCATTTTCAGATTCTCTAAATTCAAGGAAAACATAATGGCAATACCAAAAAGTTTATCCATCTTCAGCATACTAACTTTTTTTTTTGACAAAGGATCTTCAGCATACTGACTAATATAACACAAATAAATACTACAAATTTTTAAGGCAAAAGACACAAAATAATGTTCAAACCCAACACTTGAAATTTTACAATACGTTTGAAGCAATAGCTACACTAAATAATGACCAACATTCAAACATAATATTCACTAATACATAGGAACAATTGAAATAACTAACACTTGAAACTACAAATACTTGAAATAACTAACACTTGAAACTACAAATACTTGAAATAACCAACCCTTGAAACTACAATTCAACAGCATATATTCCTCATGCTACCAGTTAATCACTTGAAAATTGCAACAACAAATACCACAAACACAGTAAATGACAATATACACAACATCTTCAACTTTGACACTTTAGATTACAAATTTCTTGATTTATTCACCTCAAAGTAGTTTAAACTCTCTAAATTCTCCAATTTTTTCTTCAAATTGTCTCTTTCAATCTTCACCGCATTCAACGACTCTCTCAAATTCTCCATTTTCAACGTAGCAACTTCCAATTTAGACTTCAATAAATTAACTTCAATAGAAGAGTTTTCTGAAGAACTGTCTTCCCACCTCCAAAATTCACAATTTTCAATCTAATAAAAATAACAGAGGAAGAACTCATAATCACCAAAATACAAGCACAAATCATATTAATTTACATTTAGCGAAAAATGTACCTTAGGTTTAGAACATTTATAAAATCTTCTTCCGGGGTTCAATGGAGTCCTTGAAGTGAAACAACGAGCCAATTCGCCACAAAAACAAGTCATTATCTTGGAGTTACTAATTGAATCACAAGAACTTTCAAACATGGTTTTAGGTCTGATTTGAGGGAGACTACAGATAGATGAAAAATTGACTACAAAATTATGACCAACACACGATAGATTCGACGAAGACAAGTTGAATCGAAGAACACACGAAAGATTCGACGAGACAAGGTGGAATCGACGAAGACAAACTGGAATCGCGGCTCCGACTAGGGTTTTGGTGTGAGGGAATCGCGGCTCCGACTAGGGTTTTGGTGTGAGGGATACGCGGGGACCTCCGACTAGGGAAAAGGGACGGACTTTGTTGTTTTAATTTGGGTGTTTTTTAATTAGGATCCTTTTAGAGGAAATTGGGTGGGTATTGGGTTATGGGGCGGATAGTTGGGTTATGGGTTAAAAAAAAGGGTCAAACGGGTAGTTCAATAAGATTAAGACACGTGTAAGAAATTAGGGGTCCGTTAGTGAGAGGGGTATACGCGTACCTATAATTGGACGGCAGGGGCTTATGTGGACGCAAAGTATAACGGAGGGCATACACATACCATTTATTAAAGTTCGGGGGTAAATCCGTCCCTTCTCCCTTTTTTTAATTAAAAAAATACATTTTACTAACTTCTAAAATCAAATCAATAATGACAATTAAACTAGACCAAAAACATGATTAGATGTTACAACTTATCATTTTCCACTTTTTAATGAATTTTAATTGTTAACCCTTGTAGATTTTAAAGCTCATGAAATATTGAATAATTCTTTTATCCTTCAAGCAAATATTATGTTAAGTGAAAAAATATAAATATAAATTCTATAAACATAATAAATAAATAAATAAAGTTAGAATAAAAGAAATAGAAGAGTGGTAGACGTAAAGCCATAGTAGGTGAAAAGGCAAACCAATTGACTTCTCTCATTTCTATATTCATTTGAATTGATTATGGAATAATGACTCTTCTTTTCAGTTTTCAATATATTCTTAGCAGGTCCTTATGTTCTTCATTCTTCATCTATTAGTGAAAAATCAGGAAGAAAATTTATTAACAATTATTTGGTTCTGTTTTGTCAACACAACAATATTCATCTATAAAATTAGGTAATCCCTTTTTTCTCTACTATATTTGCATTTTTTCACAACTTTTGAGGTACACAGTTTAGAATTGAACATAAAAGGTCAATCCACTGCAGTTTTGTGTTTATCATCATATAATTCTAATGTAATTTTTTATTTATTGGTTATTCTTTCTTATTCTGGTTAATATATTGCTTTGTTTAACTTTTTTTTTTCATTTTGTATGATATGTATATTGTATTGCTTTTCACATTAGTTGGATTGATGTTACAAATGCTTTTACTTTTTACATGTTAGATAAGCTTATATAAATTTTATATGGTAGTAGAGGTCAAACGTGCAACACACGTTCTCAGGATTAGTATTATTATAAGTGAGAAGCTCTTAATCTCAAAGTTGGATTACCATTTTGTCCTTCATTTAAACATTATTTTTTTATGTACAAAATTAAAAATAAATAAATTAATAACTAAATACAAAACTAGATATAAATGGGAACAGTTTTAAGGTATTCAAATGTGCATTATATTATGTAATAAAGATATTGAAAGATGAAAAGTCATTTAGCGGAAGTCCAAGCATTTCAAAACTGAAGACTGAAGAGTTATCTTGACACTTATTTCACATTATTATTGCCAACTTCAATGTAATTGTTAACAATTATATATATGGGGATGTTCACGAATTATTTGATAAGCAAGGAGGGAGTCAAGTCACTCAAGAATTATTTTTCCATGCTCTCTTTGATCAGTAAGTTTAATAATAAAAAAAATATGTTGCTTCTATTTCCTTAAATAAACATTTTATATTTATTTTTTAAATTTTTGACAAGAAAGCATTTTCACATGTATTCATCATCTTGAAATGTGTATGCATGTTTACTTATGAATCATGATTTGGAATACGAAGGTTAAATTATCTAATTATTTTATATCATTTCATGAATTCAAATAGAATATTTTTAAATTCTTTAAAATAAATTTTACATATTTATAAATTACACTCAAAAGTGAAAGGAAAATCACTTTTAATTATTCCGTGTTTGCAGATAATCCTTTTATTTATTTTCTTTTTATGACTGAAAATGTGTAAGCAAGAAAGAAAACAATAAAAATAAAATGGAGGGAACATAAACGAAAGGGGAAGACAAGAATTAAGGCAAAGGATACAGAATAGTAATGTTAGAGAAAACAATAATAAAGTAACAGAAAAAAAGGATAAAAAAATTAAAATATGATAAGCAGTATGAAAAATAACCATGATCAAACTATTGGAGTTTTTTGTTCATGCTACAAAGGAGTATAAACACACTATGTCATTTGAATGTAATATGGAGACAACATTTATACTTGTTACAAGTACATATGGTAATTCAAACTTTGGTACAAATTGAGAAGGTGTGTTATGTTTGTATTGTCCCTTTCTTAGAAAAGTAACAAATTAATATATTGCAGGTTTCGACCTAATAACATAAAAAGGTAAATTATTTATCACATTAAATTTTGTTGTCCAAATTTGACAGGTTACCGAAATATCTAATTATTTGGCATTTACATTTTACAATAAATAAGTCATTTATATAGGTTGATTGTTCATTTATTTCATTTATATTTTTTCGTTAAATCATTTGTGAAATTCTTCAAAATGTGATTTTAATATTTTTTTGTTAAAATTTCATTTTTGTTTAATGTGATTTTAATATAACTCTTACCACATATAATATTTTTGTGGGACTCACGTGCAAAGCACGTGTCCAGGACTAGTGAATTTATATGCAAGAAACGTAACAATAAATTGAGATTGAAATTTAATCACAGTAACAAAAATAATATGTATATCAATTCACTAAAATTACATGAGATGAGAGACTGAAGTTGGAAGGAAAACAAAATCAACACTCATCTTCTTGAGCTATCGCCAACTATTCATCAAAACACACCTCGGATCTGACTAGACCAAATGTTTGAATACAATCGCCTTTTGGCGTGTGACAACTTAATTTGCCTATAAAGTTTCGTCCACATGGCAGCTGTCTCATTAATTTCTAGGCATGTTTTGATAAATAGTTGGTGATATTTCAGGTAGAGAACTCGCTACAGATCAGTGTTACAAACTGCAACTTGGGCATCCTCTAATGATCAGTTTTTCTGGCAGTGGCAAGTAAGAAGCAGCAACAATTTCCCTCATGTTATCGCAGGAAGAGATTTGAAGGATCTATTGCACAGTATGCATTATGTTGTAGTTTTAACAACATTTGTAGTTGATAAGCACCTTATTTGCTAATTTTGTTAATGTTATTTAAGGGAGACAAAGTCATGCTCTTGGGGGTGGTATGTATACTCTTTGAGTATGAGTATGTTGGATGGCCAGATTTATAATGCATCTCTTCTTGAATCTGTATAGCTCATGGATTGTTATCATTTTGAATGTTAGAAATGCATTTGAATAATTGAGTTTCAGCAGCTTGAAGAAAATAATTTGGGTTTTTCCCTTTTAGAATAATTGAGTTTTAGAAGATGGGTCGGGTATTTTTCTTTTTTTGGGTGGATCCGGGTTTGGATTGGGTTAATTTAGTTTTAGTTAATTAATTTTACAACGCTTTGTATTGTTGATGTCGTTGGAGAGATGAAGAGAATCAGAAGGGAGGTCATGGTGTTTGACGAAAAGATGAGCAATGTCATTGAACCCAAGGTCCTTAATTCGACAATGCCCTCCAGAGACATGGTAAGTGTTGCTATGCCAGAGGAACTAGTGGGCTTAGAGGAAGAAAAGGAGAGATTAAGAGATCAACTGATGGGAGGATCTCATGAGTTAAGTGTTGTACCAATTTTTGGCATTTCTGGACTGGGAAAGACAACTCTTGCCATGAGTCTCTACCACGATGAGCTTGTTGTCAGATACTTTGATATTCGTGCAGCCGTTTCTGTTTCCCAAGTATATGACACTGAAAAATTGGTACTTGCAGTGTTGCACAATATCACTGGATATCCTGACACATCTAATGGAGGGGATGGTGATCTGTTGAAAGTAAAAAAAATGATATATTTGTCTTTGAAAGGAAAGAGGTTCTTGATCTTAATAGATGATCTGCGGGATACTGAAGCATACGTTGGTTTGAGAAAGCTGTTTCCAGATGATTTTAATGGAAGTAGAATTATCCTCACCACTCAATCATATCAAATAGCTTCATGTGCTGCGCATAGTACTAAAATACATAATCTTCGATTGCTTACAGAAGAAGAGAGTTGGGAATTACTTAAAAAGAAGATATTTCACCAACAATTTTGTCTTCCAGAACTGGAGGAAGCAGGAAAGCGCATGGTCAAACAATGTCACGGGATACCTGCCATGATAGTTTGGATGGCGGATATTCTTGCAAGAACAAGGACAGAAGCCGATTGGATACAAGTTGGGGAAAGTAACCAAATTGATGAATATCTTTTCAGCATTAATGAAAAAGAATACAGTGTCATACCAGATCATCTCCGTCAATGCTTCCTTTATTTTGGAGCATTTCCGTTGGAGGAAGAAATTCTAGTATCCAAATTGATCAGGTTGTGGGCTGCAGAAGGATTCATTCAACAAACTGAAGCAGAGAGCTCTGAGGCTGTGGCAATGGATTACCTAAGGAATCTTGTTGGACAAGGTCTTGTAATGGCCTGCCAACGAAGCTCAGAAGGTGTGGTCAAACGGTGTAAAGTCCGTGACAGATTGCACAAGTTTTGTTTAGTTAAAGCCAACCACGAAAACTTTTTTCAGCTGATGGACCTTGGTGGTGGTGTTGATCCTAATGATTCCAATATCCCACTCTCCTTATTAACATGTGATCATCGTCGGCTGTTCATTTCATCTAATCGGTGGGACAATATTCGATTAGAAGTTTCTGGTCCACTTGTCCGCAGCCTGGTGCTAACTGGCAGGAGATGTGATTTTTCCAGGCCTAATATCTCATCTCTGTATCAAAACTTGAAACTTGTTAGAGTTTTGGATTTAGGGCGTATAAATGTGGGCAATGATTTTCCAGTTGGGCTTGAAAAGTTGACCCTGTTGAAGTACTTAGAAGTTCGGGGAGAAATGACTTCAATCCCATCTTCAATTGGCAGCCTCCGGCAATTGGAAACTTTTGTTACAATAGGATTAGGAGGAGAAGTTGCAATACCTGATAGTATTTGGAGTCTGACAAATTTGAGGCATTTGCATATAAAGGGTGGTCCTTCTTCTTTCGGTGCCCCTGAAGAAATGTTTCCAAATCTGAGAACATTGTCAACCCCATTGCTTATTTACGGGGAAGATTCAGAAGTTATACTGAGAAGATTAGTACGTCTTGAGAAACTGAAATGCGTCTTTTTGGAATCATGGGATTCATTTAGGAAGAAGAACCTGTTTCCCAAACTGGGAATTCTTGAGCATCTTCAGTCTCTCAAGCTACATTACTATGGTGAAGTGCGAAATACGTGTGAGTTCAATTTCCCTTTAAACCTCAGAAGGTTGACCCTGTCAGGTTTTCGCCTTCCATGGGATCAAATATCAATCATTGGGGAACTTCCCAACCTTATGGACCTGAAACTGCTGAATAAAGCCTTTGAAGGTAGTGTATGGGAGGTAAAAGATGGTCAGTTTCCCTGTCTTATGTATTTGAAATTAGATACACTAGACCTGCAGGAATGGTACATTTCTGAAGATGCGTTGTCTCGGCTTGAGCGACTGGAGTTGCAGAAATGTAAGAAACTAAGGGAGATCCCCTTGGATATTGCTGATATTGTAACTCTACAGAAGATTGAGGTGAAATGGTGCAGCCAATCTGTTGAAGAATCAGCCTTCAGAATTCGGGAAGAACAAAACGAAAACTTAGCTAAAAAGTTGAAGGTCATCTTCCGTAAGACAGATGACACGTTGATTTCTAGATAGAATGAACCTTTTTTTTTTTTTGCTTATATCAAGCACCTAAATTTAAAAAATAGCATTATTTCCTCAACAATTTCGTCATTTGATTAATTTTACCATTTATATGTGAAGTTATTTAAGATAATACAGCACCGAATAAGTGCATGTAATTTCTAACGAAATTAGCAAAGACATTAATATATATATATATATATATATGCATATAAAACACAATAAATCTATGTGCAAGAAACGTAACAATAAAAGAAATAAATTGAGATTGAAATTTAATCACAGTAACAAAAATAATATGTATATCAATTCACTAAAATTACATGAGATGAGGCGTTTCTCTGCCTTGAGCGACTGAAGTTGGAAGGAAAACAAAATCAACACTCATCTTGAGCTATCGTCAACTATTCATCAAAACATACCTCGGATCTAACTAGACCAAGTGTTTGAATACAATCGCCAAAAGGCATGTGACAACTTAATCTGCCTATAAAGTTTCGTCCACATGGCAGCTGTCTCATTAATTTCTAGGCATGTTTTGATAAATAGTTGGTGATATTTCAGGTAGAGAACTCGCTACAGATCAGTGTTACAAACTGCAACTTGGGCATCCTCTAATGATCAATTTTTCTGGCAGTGGCAAGTAAGAAGCAGCAACAATTTCCCTCAAGTTATCGCACGAAGAGATTTGAAGGATCTCAAGTTTTACTGAATGTAAGGTTGACAAATTAACACTTTCAAGCTTTGGACATTCTCCTATAATCAAGGTCTGCAATGATTCCGCTTTACATGCAATGCTCTCCAAATTTGGTAGTGCCCACAAACATAACATGTGCAATTTTTGCAACGAAGGTTGCGATTGCTCATCTTCAAACAGAATCCTGAACTTGTCGCAGAATTTGATTTGAAGAATTTGTAGGTTGTCTAGACAATAAGATGGAGAACAATTTGCGAGTTCCGAGCAATGTTCCAGATACAGACATTTGAGAAATCTTAATTCATGGCCTTGCAGGTTGCTGCCACTACATATGCTTTTCAAACAAACAGCATGAGATACCCTTAAAATCTCCAACCCATGCTCAACTTCAGTACTAACCTCAACAATCTCCTTTGAACTTCCCTGATTATTATCGGCCACACTAAGAATGCTTTCCATTTCACTGCATCCCTCTATCCAGCAGAATTTTGTCTTTCTTATGCTTTCAGCACCCAAACTAGATAAGCTTTTGATGAATTGGTTATCAATCAAGAATAAAAATTCAGCTTGAGATGCTAAATGCTCAAGACCACGGGGGTAATCACTGAACCCACGGATCTCCAGAGATCGCTCTAGCTTCCTGCACTGGCACTCTCTCCCCTCCTCCTTGCACTGACAAAGTTTTATGGTTCGGAAGAAAGTATCTCTATGAAAGAGTTCATTTTGGTAGAAATACTTACCTCCAATATCAGTCTTTTCCTCAATGGGATGAACTGTGAAATGGAAGCTTTTGCCAATAGCTGGATTGTTCAAGAGTTGAAGAACTTGAAAGTTATCCACAAATATTCCAAGCATACGACTGCTGGGAACTACGTCAAGTGGCCAGCTGGAGATCCTCCAGGGACAGTGAAGAAGCTCCTCTGGGTGGCATATTCTGTTTCCATCTTTCATCTTTGGTAGCTCAAGGTGATTCAAACAAGTCAACTTTGAGATACTATAAGGAAGTTTCTCAATCGGCGCCTTCAAGACTTCAGATATCTCCAGATCCTTGAACTCTTTTATGTTTGGGCAATCTCTGAGGATAAGGCGACGAAGATTGTGAAAATCCTCGAAGGAGGGCAAGTCTACAATGCGAGATCCAGAAATATCCAGAACTTCAAGTGTTGTGACTCCTTCCAGATTCGGAAGCTGCTGACAACCTCTTAGAGAAAGATGCTTAAGCTTTTTGAGGTTCGATAAGGATGGCAAATGTGTTACCCCAGTTTCAGAAATATCAAGAAGGTGAAGATTCACCATATTCTTCAAGAAATCAACTTCTCCTAGGCACTTGAGACCAGCAAGATTTAGCTCCTCCAGGTTTGTTAGGGATTCAAGTGATGGAAATCTTTCCAATTTAGTGCACTTCTGTAGAAAAAGGCGACGGAGGTTACTCAAACGTGACAGGGATGGCAGATACTCAATGCTTGTCTCAGAGAGGTTCAGATTTTGAAGGCAATGCATGTTTTCAAATGAGTTATCCGCCAATCTAGTTAGAGCCTTACAACCTGAAAGATCAAGCACCAGCAAATCTTTTAATGAACTTAAGTCTCCCAATTTCACCAAGGAGCAGCAGCATGAAAGAAACAGCTCTCTAAGATTACTAAGACTGGAAATGGATGGCACACTAATGAGGTTTGTGGCTGAAAGGTCAAGAAATTGAAGGGCATCAGGGCTTTTAAGGTGTGGAAATTCATTGAACTTGGAGCACCCTCTCAAAGAAAGACGGCGTATTTTGCAGATTTCTGAAGGAAGCTTCTCAATTTGAGTTTGTGAAACATTTATTTCTTCGAGATCACCAAGTTGTTCTAGGGATTGATCATGAAATTCAACAAAATTTGTGGCACCTGACAAGTCAAGAATTTGCAGGCTGCTTAGTGAACCAATCATGCGTAACCTTCTTAGTGATTTACAATCACGTAACAAGAGATAAGTGAGATTGCTCAAGTCTTTGATCACAGGTAACAATTTTATTTTGGTGTTTGAAAGATTAAGCATTCGAAGCTCCTTATTTATTGCAAAGCTCTTGTCAAGGAACTTCTCTAGAGATGTAGAACCAGAAAGATCGAGAACCTGAAGTCTTGTCATGCTTTTTAAACTTCCTATTTCCTTTAGGCTGGAGCAGTCTCTCAGAATGAGCCAAACTAGTTCAGTGAGATGACAAAGGGATGAGGGAAGTGAAGAAACTTGAAGAGATGATAAATTAAGACTTTGAATATGAGGCATATGTTTAAAAAGATTGTCGGGGATTGTTAAGGAAGGGCTAGGACCAGATATTTCAAGAACAGTAAGTTTCTGGAATGAAATGTTGTCAGCTTTAGTTGGTCTTAGTTCCAAGAGATTCTCAATGCCCCCTAAAAAATTACAACCTCTAAGAACAAGAAGCCTAAGATTCTGCATCTCCAAGGATAATGGCTCGGGTTTGGATGTTGGGTTGAAGATTGCAAGAGCTTCTATCTCCTCCATGGTTTGAAAGAGATCAACTAAGACTTCCCTATTGAGAAAGTTCCTATCAATCAACAATGTTGATGCTTTTTTCTCTTTTTCAACCTTACCAAGTGTTCTTATGATCCCATCTGCTTGTGCGATTCGTCCAAGATCACCTTCAAAAACATTCGCCAGACCTAGACGGACAGTCTCCTCCATTCTACAACGATCACAAGCACTCAAAAACAACGGTTTCCTATTTTTCCTAACATACCCTGCAGCTAGCTTTTCAATGAAGCCATGATGAGCAAGCGCCATAAGAACACGGTGTCCCTTTTCATAAGCATTCTCAAAACAATTGAAAGGACCAAGAAAGCCTTCCAGTATCCAATAAGTGATCAACTCACTGTAATGTGCCCTTCCACTCTTAAAAGGGAACTTGTTTTCGCGGCAACATAAGTCAATTAAGATGCTTTCCAGCAGCAACTTAGACTGTAACCCTGTGTTATTAATATGTCTAAAGTAAGTACTAATTTGTGATTATAACATATCAGTTGATAGTCTAAATTGAAGTATATTACATACCTGGAGTTGTATAGATTGTCTTTACAATAAGTTCACAACATGAAGAAAGTGACACATTGCCATTGATTTGGTCCTTATTATGTTCCACTTTGATGATAACTCCCTCCTCAAGACCTTGGTTTTCAGCATTGTCATGTGCTGTGGTAACAAGAATCTCTTGTACATGATTAGCTTTTAATCCTTTTATGCGACGAGATACCATATTCATGCTCAGCTCATCCATTTCACCTGCTCCATCAACAAATATCAAGACAACCTTCTTGCTTTCAAGTATTTTTATCATCTGATCCTCCAATAACTTTTCCATCCTCGTCTCTTTTTCCTTCTTGTTATTTTCAAGCTCCCACTCATCGAGAGGAGATAAACATGACAAGTTACAAGCTAGTCTTTCATCAATATCACCATTTGGAAAGGACAGTTCCCACAATATTGTGAAATCAAATATTCCTTCTACAATAGCACGACCACTTGACTTTTTTGCAATCCATGTTAAGTCCTCGATTTCGACGTCTTTCCCAGTGAGGATGATCCTTTTCTTACCTTCAGATTTTAACTTACTATATAACTGTTCCAATTTTGAAGCATATTTAGTACGGAAAGATGCTGGTGCCATGACTGACTATCTGCAACAAAAAATGAAGGGAGGATTTTCATGTTTACGACAAAAAATACAACTTAAGAAATCCAAATTACATGTCCAAATAAAACTTCAACTTCAAATCATGTCCAAACAAGATCAGTTGGTTGAGTACTTAAACTTTCACTTGTCAGCGAGAGTTCGATTACCACTAATTTCCCATTGTCATGATGAGATACATAAAAAAAAAAAAAAAAATTAACACAACGAGCAAATAAGAAAGAACCTGAAAAGCAGTAGCAGCAAACAAACAACTCAAAGTTTAATTTGAATGGTAAACAGTGATATCCCTTCAATGATTGATTACTTTCCTCCTCTAAAGGCCAACTGTCTCCAAAAAAACATTTGCCAACTAAATAAGGGGCCCTATTTCGTATTTAATTTTTTAAATAATGATGGCATTGAATTACACATTTTACAACATTTGATTATTCTTAATCTCATTTATATTCTTTTAAGGGAAAAGAGTCGTACATACCCTTTAATTTTACCATTTAGATTTGATATATCATTTGTTATGAAAGTGGCTCATACATGCTCTAGTTTTTGGATGACAGAGGCATCAATGTCCCAAAAGTATCTGCATACCATTTACGATAGTTCAGGGATATATTTGTCCTTTTTCCCTATTAAAAATTGTCGTCTTCTTCAATAAGTGCTGGAAAAAAAAGTGGTATATATATACTCTTGGTGTAAATTATGTACTATATTAATTAATTAAAAAAACTTTATTTTTGATATTTACCTTGAAATTTATTTAATTTAATTAAGCATGAAGACTTTTTCTTTTTTTAAAAGATGATTTTCACTCTCTTTGACCTGAGTTTTATCGAAAACAACCTCTTTATCCTCTTCAAATTTTATCTGTGAGATTATAGTGGTTTTTTTTTTTAATTATTGTTGTTCAATCCTATTGTTATTATATAACCAAACTAATAAGGAAATAGTTTAATATAAACTAGAACAAATGGAGTGTAGTCTTACAATTATATTATAAGAGTTCTACTTGTAGTACAAATAGTAGTACAAGTATATACAATTAAGAAGAATACAATCAAATTAGTGATTTAAAATATATATATATATATATATATATATATATATATATATATATACTAGTGTTAAATATTGAATAAAATTTTCTAAGATATGATTTGGTTAAAAAATAAAATAAAATAAAAATAGAATTACTTTACCACTATTCTTTTCGCTCTGAAATGTGAATAACAGTTTAATATCTAAATTATCAATTCAATTAAAAATATAATTGTATCGAACGGGACACTGAACCATATAGAAGGGACCACAACTTCTTCATTTTTAAAAAAAAAAAAAAATTGTTGTGGTCCCTTATCCATTTCAAAAATGTAAAATAATTGTAAGATTGAAGTTTTAAAAAATTCAAGAAATATTTAAAAAGAAAATAAAAATGATACAGAACTTTTTTAATTTCTCATTCTATTTCGATATATATATATACTAGTAAAGAAAGCCCGGGCGCTACCCGGGCCCAACATTAATAAAGTTAAATTGTTACTCTCTCCGTCCCATATTAGATGAGAATCTTACTAAAAATATTTTTTTCATATTATTTGAGCACTTATTAAATTAGGATAGAATTAATTAATTCTTTTCCATTTTACCCCTACAATTAATATGACCATTCCTATATTGTATGTGTATTTTTTGTACTCCCTCCGTCCCTATTTAGTTGTCCATATTTCCTTTTTTAGTTGTCCATTTTGACAAATCAAGAAAGGACAACAAATTTTTTCCTATTATACCCTTATTTACACTTCTTGAAAATTGTAAAAGTGTATGTTATTTCCCTCCAATTTATTTCACTTGAATTCAAAGAAGTGGTTGTAATTTTGAAGTGAAAAGTTGTCATAAGGGTAAAATTGTAACTTCACTGTGCTAATCATTGTTGCCTTAATCTGTGTGTCATTTCTAAAGTGGACAACTAAAAAGGGACGGAGGGAGTAACTCATTTCAATGTGCATTGATATAAACAAAGGGCAAAATGGTGAAGTCTTCCAATGTATTAATGATTTCTTAATCACCGTGTAAAGTTGGAAGTGTCCATCTAATATGGGACGGAGGGAGTATAGTTTATGTATGGTTATAAAATTAGTAAAGATTGTTATAATAAATTTTGTTCATAAGGGAGCTAATATAGAAACTTATTTGTCATTTGTCTTTTTAATTTCAATTTTAAATAGCAAATAAATGTAGCGATAAGATTGAGGGTAGAAATGAAGCATATCTTTCTAAATTTAAGTAAAAATAAACAGAGTAGAAGTAACATTAGGGTTATTGATAGGACGATTCATTCGATTATTTTAAAAAAAATTATATCATTCAATTTTTCGGCTATTTTATAATGTATAACCAAAATTAAAATTTTAAAATCATCCCAATCCTAATTTATGTGACAGAACCAGTACAAAAATTAGTCTTTTTTTTGTTGTCTTGTAGATATTTTAAGTTATTATTTATTGTAAATTATAGTACTTTTTATTAAAGTTTTTAATAACATATGTTACTTTTTATGTTTGAGAGTTAAACCAACTTTTTTTTATATGTCTTTTAATTTTATATGTGTTTTGTCCTTTTCCATTTTGAAAAACCAATACTCTCTCCATTTTATTTTATATGTCATTTCTTTTTATAAATATATTGGTTATTCCCTCTTCTTATTGGAACACATGTTAACTTGTGGTGAACACTTATTCCCTCTTCTTATATAGTAATATATATATTAAAATTGTAAAATTCCTTCTACGGCCAAACCTAAATAATTGTACTAGGTAATTGACCTGATTTTGAACAAATTATAGTTCTCTACTATTTTCCATTTACTTATGATCAAAAAAAAATTATGATAAAGAAACATTTTAGTCAAACATGGTCAAGATCATAGATATCCGTCTTTTTAACAAAATAAAATAATGGTGGTGTCCAAATCAACTTGCACACACTTTGATTGTTCCGCAAATGCATGTTACCTCCTACCAACACAGTGTATTAGGTAACTCTGCTTGCCAAAGCTTAGGCAAAGAATGACGCGATCTTTGTAATCGGGAGGCAAGCAAAGGCCTTCTTGTAGTAGCTATTAACCCAGTAATCAGCTTGATTGTGATTCCTGGCATAGAGCACAATATGTAGACCATTGCCAGACTTGCATTTTCTTTTAAAAGACTTGGATAGAGAAGTAAAACAATAACTCTTACACCTCAATATCAAACAAGTTGGATTCACGAACAAAAATAACTTAGTAGAAAGACCAAAAGCAATTGTGGAACAAAAGAAGTTATTAAAATATGGAGAATTGAATCCCTTATGAACCATATAATTGCCTCAGAGGGTACTGGAAATCAGCCAATAACTGAATGTTTCATTTTTACAAGAAAATGATCCACAACATACTTAGGCTCAGAGAAACAGTGACCATAAAAAAAAAATTAGCTTACAATGCAGTTTACAGGCAAGTCAACTGCCGCGACTAAATTGAGAATGCAAGGAAACGTTAATTCTACGAGGGTGGTTTAGGACCTTCGCCTGGACCTGGTTAATCTTCTTGTGGAATTGGAAGTATCAAGATTTTGATCACTTCTACTGCTGCTCTTAGCTCTGGATTTAGTGGCACCTGCAAATGTAGAAGTGTTAGTGTTTGTTCAACCCGTTAGAGAAACAAGTTGCAAAGGATATAGGGCGTTAAGGAACCTCTGGTGCGACTTATAGGGGATTGAACTTCATTTTCATCAATTGCTGAATCAGCCACCTCACTTGAAGCATGAGAGTTTGCTTCTGACTCAGCACATCCTGATTCTGAAGGTGAACATTCTGTTTGCGCTTCCATTGATGGATCAGTGACTTCAGAATCTGTTACATGATTAAGAAAATGAAGTTACAGAAGATTCAAGATAACCAAATGAGGCACTGTTCCCGTCCCTTCCCATTATAGATCATAAGAAACGGAACAGATACAACAATCCTGCACCATGTTGGCTACACTTATTTTGCCTATACAGTTTGCACATTGACTTTGTAAGTTTTATCAATCCATTTCGCCACTAGCCTCTTTATATATCTCCAGCTCTCTTACCAAATGATTTCAGAGCTTTTTTAATCAGTATCTACATCTTAAATGTACCAAATTCTGAAAAGCCCCATCAAATAATTTTTATGGATTTAAAAAAAGAAAGTTGTAGCGAATGATCAACTATTTATATAAGGTACTACCACGTAATGTCTTGTTAACAGCTACTACCTCATCTACATTGTTTTAAAAAAAAATTGGTGGAACAAAAACATAGATGACCTGTATAAATTAAAGAGACAAGCAAGAGATAAATGCTTTCACTTCCATCCGAGATGTAAAAAAACTTAGCATCTCCCACATATGTTTTGTAGATGACTTGTTAATGTTCTGTAAAGCTGAGGTGAGATCAATACGACTGATTCAGCAAGCTTTTGCCAAATTTTCAAATGCTTCTAGTTTGCAAGCAAATTGTGATAAAAGCTGTGTGCTTTTCAGGGGCACAACCAAGTATTAAACAAGAGATTTTAAGTCAATTGGGCTATAATGAAGGTAGTCTACCCTTTAAGTATTTGGGCATTCCTTTGTCATAAAAAAAAACTCAGAATTAGCCAATGTATGCCTGTGGTGGATAGAATTACAGGAAGAGTGAAATGCTGGACATCCAAGTTATTTACTTATGCTGGGAGATTACAATTAAATTAAATCTGTGGTATTTAGTATGCAGACATATTGGGCACAAATGCTCATTCTCCCTAATAAGATAATGAAACTAATTGAGCAAGTGTGCAGAACCTACTTGTGGACAGGATCCACTGGTACCTCCAAAAGAGCCTTGGTTTCTTGGGAAAAGGTATGTCAACCTAGGAGTGCAGGGGAGCTGAATGTTATGCATTTAAGTGGCTGGAACAAGGCCGTAATACTTAAGCTGTTA